ACTGACTGCCTTCCAATATGCCCCAAGCGGAGAGGGAGAGACTTTAGACCCAGCACCGACATCAGTCAGGACCTCGTGACTCACCTGAAGATGGCCAGGCTGAGCGACACGCAGGAATAACGGCGCGTCCGGCAGGTTCAGCCTTCGGCCTTTCTCTCATGAAGTGCTGCCCGCCGAACCACCGAGTGGCGACATACAGGGCCACAGACATGAACCGACTTGTTCCTGCGCGAGGACAAGACACAGCCACCATAACACACTCCATGTGAGCTACCAACGGTCAGTCACAGCAGAACAGACTTTGTTAGTGGGTAGTTTAAGCCTTCCCTGTTATGTTGTACTTCCTTTATAGATTAAATGCTCAACTTCTATCCGACGAGCGCGCACCACAAACAACATCCAGGGACCCTGCTCCGCTTAGAACAGGACAAACTACCCAGGAAGCTCCCTCTGGAACATACTTTACCCTTCTGTTTACTTATGTTCTCTAACTCTGTTGTCCTTAAAATTTTACCTTTGTTCTTTTCTAATATGTGCTACTAGGCTAGAGTATTTGCACTCTTTCAACCCCAAGCCAATGACCAGCATGCGCCTCTGACAGCATTGCTTTCTAACTGTTTATACCATCATTTTTTATTGGTTAACACAACGCATGTTGTCTTTAGCACAGCAGGGTTATATCAGTTAACTAATACATTCTCTCGGGCGTCAAGTCTCACATTTGAGCAAGTCTACGAGCCACTGAGACAATTTAACCGTTTTTGCATTGCGAAAATAACCAAGTTGCATATTTCTACGCAGGATAGTCTTTTCTATCTTCTGTCTTCAGCCCAAACGATGCTACGCTCATCGCTATTTTGGGCTGTTTTCTGGGGGCAAAAAACAGCACCTGCTCACTCCCTGAAAGAAGCTTCCTGCCGCCGACTCATGGCCCGACGTTTGGGGCTGACAACCCACCCCACCTGGTTTACAATCTTGGCTAACACAGGCACCAACAAAAAGATCTTAGAAATCAGCACTTTTGTTGTTGCCAACCAACGAAATGTAACTGGGAATCCGGAAAAGATAGATACTCTCAGGTGGGCGAACTACGGGACTGGAAACTCAAACCACGCATCTTTGCATCTCTTTGTACATTCAAAAAACAATATTTGTGGACATCGCAGCCGTGGAGAATACGTGCAACTGCAAGAGCTGCAAATGTTCAGATCCAAGAAACGGTAAAAAGGTGTGTGACAGACAGCGTTCTAATGAAGCACCGTAAGAGCCTGCCAGTAGACGTCCGGTCCAACCACATCAACATGCTTTGTTTGCGTACAGATCCCTCAAAAATGCACACACTTGATGTTTCAATATGTTTTTTTACAAGGAACATCGGTCTGTCTAACCACGCTATGAATATCTGTAATCATTTTTGCTGCATCCCTACAGGAAAAACACTATTTACGCAAAATTTCAGTTTTTGCCAGCCCCGCTTCACCCTCCTGAGGATGTTTTGACCCCCGTATTCACTCCCCTGAAAGAGGCTTATCTGCGAAGAATCTGTACATGCACTAAACTTAAGGATATGACTCCGCACTCCATCTCAGTCGCGACTGTTTACTGGGCAGACCCGGACTTGAGGGGGCACGAGATAAGTCGAGTGACCGCGTTTGGGGCGAGAGAGTTTTTGGAAACAGGTACAACAGCTCACCTTCTAGCTCCTGTTGTCGCCCGGCTCAGGTCATACAACTCGATGTCCCTGGCATTTGTTGTAGCCGCTGCTCAACTGATACACATGCTCTGGCTCTTGCCCCCAGCCTTAAACCTAACCTGTGCAACCTGGTGGTCTAACTACCCGTCTGAAGGTTAAACCTCTCAGTGCTCTCGTCGGGGGTCTCCACCTCGTTCAACACTTCACTGGCGGAAGACTTGACTAGATAAATCTCCTGAAGCTCCACACATGCACGTTGCGATTACGACATGTGCTTATTGTTCTTTAGCTGGAGAAACTCTTCCAGGGAAACGGTACCCAACCTGCGTCCTTTAAATCTTGTAAAATGTTTCAGATATAAATGGAATTACTGGAGTGCTAGAGTGTTGGGACGGTTCTTAAAAACGCCGGCTTTTTAAGTGTCTCTTTTTTATTTAAATGTAACAGCATTAAATCGTGTAACTGAGACATCCTCATAAAATAGTTTTTCTGTTTTCGTTTTAGTTTGAGTTGTGTTGTTGTTTTCTTACTGTGTGTGTTTGTCTACTGCTCCGCGGGGAGCGCCGATCGAAGCAGGCCGATCGAGCCCTAATGCCTTTTTTTTATTCTTCTATGCGCACGCTCATAAGAAAGGGAATTGTATTTCTCATGTTAGCAAGTAAAGTGTTGTATATCCTGCAAACGATCCCAGACATAACGACGAATACAGAAAAAGTTCCCTAAACACGGCAAATAATGCTCCAAAAATTCTCTAATCGTCCTGGTTTTACACAACTTTCAGCAGTTTGATTTATTATTTGGGTTCATCTTGAAGTTTATAATATAATTATGGATAAACATCTAAATATATATGTCCTCTAACTCACTGATTCTCAACCTGTGATCTGTCATCATGCTTGCTTTACACAAATATGACCAGTTAGCAGGTGGAGGAAGTCTTGACTAATACGAAATACGACACTGTAAAAAAAACACTCTGTTACCTAATCCTGCCATTAAAAAGAATTGATCAGAAGTTGGGATGGAGACCAACAAACAGACCGTTTATTTACACAGTCCACGCAGTTACAGATGTGTAATAAGTTCAACACATCCACGCCTAAAAATGTGATAATGTGTCATCAGAATGATAGAAAATATAATTTGGTGTATTTTCATCGCATTTCCAGGAAACGAACTGCACACACTAAGACACCCACCTTTCAACCCAACTCTGATGTGTTTTTAGCCTCAAAACGCATTTTATAAAATGTGACACAGATTACAATGGACGTAAGGAGCACAGAGACCAGCGGACAGAGACGAGACACCGGCCCAAGAGAGGAGACAGCGAGGAGAGGAAGAAACCGCATAGGAGAGACGACAAAGAACCATACAAGCGCCAATGCGAGAGCGCTTGGGGCCATATGAAGGCAGTCAGTAGGTGTTTGGGCCACGTTTGACCTTTTCTGTCGCTCTTTTTCTCCGGATATCTGGATTAGTGTTCCTGTATCTTAGTTTATATGTTAATAGTGATCGATAAGTGTTTGTAAATTGTAAATAGCACAAGTACTGTCAATATTTAAATTGTTTGTTTGACCTTCTGCCTCCCTTTGTAATCTAAACAAAAAAACCTCCTCAGTATGCGTGTGTAAATTTATTTAAATAGTTTGTTAAGCACAAGTGTTTGTAAATTGCTTGTAAATAGCACATGTACTGTAAATATTTAAATTGTTGATATTCTCCTTCCCTTTGTAATCTAAAACAACAACTTCAGTGTGTGTATGTAAATTAACTAGAAAACAATCAGACAGTGTTTGTGAAGTCTGGGACAGTTCAGTTTTAAGTAGACTTTGGGAAAAAGTTACTTTCGTGTTCACACTAAATCAATCATACAGAGAGATATTGGCGACTTTCTCGCTAGTTTTAGCAACTGTTCAGACCTTCTTAGCAACTGTATTTCTAAAAAGTGACACATTTAGAGATTTATTTATAGACCTTTAGAGAAAAGACGAGTATTATGTTCCAATATATTTATATTGTAATTAACAAAGCTGCTCATAGTAACCGCAGTCCAACAGCTCCAGGGTCTCTCCCTCTCCTCTTGGGGCCATATGAAGGCAGTCAGTAGGTGTTTGGGCCACGTTTGACCTTTTCTGTCGCTCTTTTTCTCTGGATATCTGCATTAGTGTTCCTGTAGCTTATCTTATATGTTAATAGTGATCGATAAGTGTTCTGTAAATTGTAAATAGCACAAGTANNNNCCTTTGTAATCTAAACAAAAAAACTTCCTCATAGTATGCATGTGTAAATTTACTCTGCACACTCAAAAGTTGAGATACCCGACTGTGATCCCTGAGGCTTTCTAGGTAAAGAGAAGATTACGTTTAGGAAGCTGGATGAGTGCAAACGGGGAATGTGCTCTGAGAATGTGTTCCCGTCTGAAACTGTTGAAACCAGTTAAGTGACACGACTGCCACCAACACATTCCTCGCTGGCTTTAAAGGTGTGAATGTGCGTACTCGAAGGAACGGCCAACCCTTTCACAGACTGACAAAGATCTTTATCATCAGACATCATCCGATGATGGAAGTTTTCCAGCCATGGAATCACCTGGAAATTGATTTAAAATTACTGATAATGATTCTACTTGATTCAAACTAGAGGAATTAGAGTGAAGTTGTAGTCAATTCACCGGACACCGCTCTACTGAGAGCAGCCACAGTGGTGAGCTACCACCTCTGAGAGCTACCAGTGAATTATATGTGCAGATTCTGTCCTGTACTGTCAAGAAAACTCCTGGAAAATTACTTTTCTTTATAAGAGGGGGAACCCTGGAATTGGAGTAACGTGGCTTGAATGTTACAGAACACAAACATCACCTCCACCAGTTTGTTGTCTCATGTTTCCATATCGATATGTCGCCTTTAATTGACAGATGTTTTATTTGTATGGTTCAATAACATTTAATAACAACATCGGCCTCTCTGCAAGTAAGATGTCTGTTCAGCTCTGCGTCTATAAACTGAGCTGTAGCGAGGCAGAGATACGTAGATTATGTAGATTTATTTTGTTTCCCTGGCACAAATAAATAACAGCAGATAAACATCGACTGAAATCTAATTTAAAATATCGGTATCGGTTTTATAGATCGCTGTGTAGATTTGCTTCAGCTCTTTTAAATTAGACGGCCACATTGTAATTACAAGCCATTAGAACCTAGATTATAGTAATACCCTGCGGAGTTACGTCATTTGTGTGATGTTTATCTTGAAATCCAATTACCATATGAAAACCACACTTTGGTATTTAAAGCATCGGCTCCTAACTGGAAGTGTTATGATGCTAACACTGCAATCACTGCCAGGAGAGTTTGTAGATTGTGACCCACTTGGCAGGTCCTAGCAGGCGGGCCGAAGCTCTGAGCTCATCATCGCCATCGCCGGTGGATCTGTTGGTGTGTTGAGCCCTCCCTCTAATCTTAATCCCGCAGCAGTGGGCACAACCTGCCCTCTCCACCCCTCAGCTGTCTGCATACAGGACATCACAACAGGACTTTGTGGTTTCCAGGGCTGTTGGAAGCTGCTGATGTTGTATATTTCATCAGTAAATCCCACACAGAACAAAACCAACAACATCCCACTGAAGTCTTTGTATCTAAAACCTGAAATATCTTACCAGAGCACAGCAGTGTCCCTCAGTCCACAGCCCAGGGCTACAATACCACAAGAAACACTCAACACGAGCAGTCCTGTAGCTGCTGATTATCCCAAATCCCAGTGAGTGTTTCGGTTGAACGAATGTTCTAACTGGAGACTATAACTGGGAGGGAACTGTAGAATACAGCATCACTAGCCGACCGCAGTCTTTACACTACCTCGTGAATTTAGGGAACATAATGAGAAAGATGATGAGAAGAAACTCTCACGGGACACAGCAGCTTCAAGACTCGGCTTGCAGAGATAGCAAAAGTAGAATATTTATTGGATTCATTGTTGTAGACGTTGTGTATGTAGCCTATTTACACAACTATGTGATGAATAAAAAGCACTGGAGAAAGGAGGCTTTATGGTTCTAACACAACACATACAGATCAATACGAAACATAAAGTAGTCCCTCATTATAATTTAAGCTATACTTCTAAGTTTTCTGCCAGGCAGTGGAGTAATTACTTATAAATGAGTATTTAATAAAGACTTTACAGTTTGTACATTTGGAAAGAAATCAGAGAGAAGTAGCAGCAGTACTCAGCTTGTTTCTGTGTGTTTCTTCCACCAAATTCCTTCCTGCGATCTGTGGATCGATGTATGATTGCACTACACTGGGATTGCAGGGCTGTTAGGGTTTTATTGACATTAGAGGATGAGTCATGTTGAGCCTTTATGGCTGTAGCAGAGCTGGAACAGCAGACATGTGGAATGAGACAATACCATGGGTTGTAAAAATGATGATTTTAAAAGCTAAAGTTTAAGAATAAGGAAGTGTCCTGATCCCTGAAGAAGGAGGAGGTTTTATATTCAGCACACCTTCACTCCTCAGGGCTCCAGACTGAGACCATCCCATATTTCCAAGAGTGATAAAAGGACTGTGTTGAATTAAAAAAATCTGTTTTTGAAAGCCTTAGGAATAATGATGTGTGAGCGGAAACTGCATTATCTGTAAAACATAGAAGGTAGCCTGAAAATGGCTGTTAAATAGCAACAATAAAGAAGATGAGAGTGTTTGTGTAGGACTGGATATTGGCACTGATCTCCCTGTTTGGTTGATTTAGATGCAGAGTTGATTTATTTTAATTAGATTATATTGGGTTCTTGAAAGATTCGGTTTCATCAGATCGATACCGACATCACATAAATATAAAACTCTTCTCAGAGTGTATGCTGGGAACTTAAAATAAATACAAATAAAGAAAGAGTCTCAGATAAAGCTTCTTTTCTCCGGCCATGAGGACAGTAAACTCCGTCCTCTTTATCTCCTCGCCCTTGTGTAGCACATAGTCTTCACCCAGTCCTTTGCAGTGCCCCTCAACATTATTATCTGCACTAAAAGAGTAAAGTAAAATGTATTTATATGGCACTTTACAGAGGAAACACACATAGATTAAAGAATAAAATAAAAACACAATAACTACAATTTATTTTTCATTTATTTGCAACTCAGGACCATGGTCACATGTATGTAGCAAAACCATAATATACAGTAATAACAAGCACACGGCTAAAGTACAACAAATATAACGTAAAGGAATTCATTCTTCAACAGTCCTGATGTCATGTTAAACAGCTTTCAGTTCACGTAGAACTGAACACAACCTCTCAAATATAATGTTGGGTAACGAGTTTACGTGTGTTCACTCTGCAGCATCATCGGAGCGGCGAGGACCGGACTGTACATGCTGAACATCCTCACAACCAGCGGCTTCAAGCAGTCGGTGTGTGACAGCGGCTTCTACAGCGCCCCCGTCAGCAAATTCTGGGCCTACGCCTTCGTTCTCAGCAAGGCCCCCGAGCTTGGTGAGGCTTCCTTCCTTTGGATCTCTCTCGATATTGTCCTGAATGTCAATGTCTCATGGGGAACAGCTCAAGATGACATTTTTAGAGCGATCTCTGGGTAAATGAGTTAGGCCTGAATTCTTCACTTGAAATGATTTACCGTGTGTTCCTAAGCATGACTGGAAAAATATTTGCGTACAATGACAGATTTAAACTTTTAACCTTTGTGTAAATGTTGAGTAAACGTAGAGGTATGTTCTCTGAGGCACTTAGAGAGGGGACACAGTGTCCTCTCTCAGTCTTAATTAAGTGGGCTGATACGTGTTGGCAGCAGGTAGCCTACCGTTAGCTGGTAGCCACCCTAGCAGCACGTGCAACAAAAAACTTTAAAAATCATAAAATCATAAAAATTTTAATTATCTTTAATTGTCCGTTATGTGCTGCAGTGTTTGTTTTTTGGCCTAAATTTTCTTATAAAACCTGACGATTATATGACTTGTGTTTTAATTTTTGTGAAGCACTTTGTAACTCATATTGTGAAAGTGCTCTGTAAAAAAAAAAGACTGTCATTATTACTTAATCTTTCCAGTTAATGTAGCAGCAGACAATTACCTTAAGAGCTGCTTCAGTGGATGGTGTTGCCTCTCTCTCTCTCTCTGCACGCTAATCTCGTCTCCTCGTGCTCTCTGTCGGACGCACGGACCTGATTGCTCGGGGAAATGGAGGCAGATGCTGAGGTGGCAAGAAAACTCCATTAGTGCGTGATTGATACAGTGTTTCCTCAGCTGCAGACAGGAAGAATGTCCTCATCCTCCTGTTGGTCAGCCTATTAGTTTACTACAGGATGTAAGAGAAGATATGATAAGACAAGATGTATTGATCTTCACAGGGGTGATTCAAGGGCAGAAATAAGTTCAGATAAATCTACTGTAACAGTGTGCACCAGAATATTATAGAATATAATTAAGTAATAATGCTTAGTGTTTGTCTGTATTCATATAGATATATCATAGAAATATAATATACTAGTATGTAAGTATAGTATGTAATAAAACATATTACAGCTACTTTAAGCAACATCGATTTAGTAAAAAAAGGTAGAAATTAGTTGTGCTAGTTAGGGTCGGATATAGTTTGAAGTTTTTGGTAATAATTTCATTTTAATGGTCAGAAAATTCCTAAAAATGTCCAAATAATTTCTGAGGAAGCTTCCCGAAAAGAAGCATGTAATTTGGTTCTAACTATAAGCAGCTTCCAACAGGATAATTCCTATTAACTGCTGACTGTTTTACAGGCACACTCATACAGTTCAATAACTTTTACACAAATAAATGTATGATGAATACAGTTTTACTTGGGTTTAAATGAAACAGTTTGAAAGTGAATATCCCCTGAAAATCAAAACTTAAATGCTCAGCTGCATATCAAATCAATAGCCAGCTCCCACGGGGTATCCAGAGGTTCTGGTTTCACTTTTGGGGAGCTGCGCTGTATTAAGTCACTGCTAACAATTCGAACATTTCCCACTGCTGCAGCTTCACATTAAAAGCATTGAACTGATGAAACACGAGTTAACTTTTATTTTGAAGTAAGCCAGTTACGGAAAGTGCAGAATATTTGTCAGTTAGCTCGACACTGGCTGCAAAAATGCATCTACAAAACAAGTTGATTCCAGCTTTACGATGCTCTGACTAACCTCCTCTCCCCGTCTCTCTCTCAGGTGACACCGTGTTCATCGTCCTCCGGAAGCAGCGCCTCATCTTCCTGCACTGGTACCACCACATCACCGTGCTGCTCTACTCCTGGTACTCCTACAAGGACCAGGTGGCGGGCGGCGGCTGGTTCATGACCATGAACTACTTGGTCCATTCCCTCATGTACACGTACTACGCAGCCCGGGCGGCCAGCGTGCGGGTGCCCCGTCCCTTCGCTATGGTCATCACAGCCACCCAGATCATGCAGATGGTGATGGGCCTCACCGTCCTGGGCCTGGTGTACCGCTGGATGCACGAGGTGCGCTGTCCGTCCTACATGGACAACATCGTGTGGGGCTCTCTCATGTATCTCAGCTACTTGGTCCTTTTCGCCATGTTCTTCTACAACACCTACCTCAGAGGCTCCTCTGGGGTCAAAGGCTTCTCCGGGGACAAGGGATCCAAGGCAGAGTAGCGTGTCCGCGCTCGGCAGTCGTATCGAAGTGTGCCATAAGTATAATGACCGACGGTGAGGGGCCATGAATGTGTGTGAAGTTAACGGTTTGCTCGGCCCTCCTCTTTTTACCACATTTACACTTGACTTTTTATAGGAATCTGTAGCTCAACAGTGATTTGTCCGTGGATGTAGAGCGGTAGGGAAGAGGAGGCTGAGCACAGATTAATAAGAGCTCATGATTAGATGCAAGTACAGTACGGAAATTATGGTTGAATTAGGGGGAAACCCATGTTTGTGTTTTAATAGCATAGTTCTCATTACATTGAAATTATTGCCTTGGTTACTTAGACTCTTAACCAGTATCCAAAAAAAAAAAACAGCCATACGAGGGCCAAATGTTGATGAGAGGTGGTTTACAGGTGTTTGTGTTGTTATGTTACGTTAAGGCTTTGCACTAGAGAAAACAAGCACTTGTGCGCTTTAAATGGCTAAAAGAATAGTTCAACATCCACATGAGAAGAGTGAGCATTAGCTCAGCATAAAGACTGGAAGCAGATTACTTTCTTAAGTGCCCTACAACACTTATAAAGCTGGATTATTTAAAATATACAACTTATTTATTTAACCAAGGGAAAGTAAAAGAACCTTTAAAAACGTCACTTCCTGAGTTTAGGTTTATGTGCCGGATCTACTTCTTTATCCGTCCGCCCAGCTCTTCTCAGCAGTGTGTCCGGCTACAGCGCGGACTGCCAGATACAGCAGGTGCACACTGGGTCCAAAATTAACTTTTTGGCTCATCTGCAGTAAATTTATCAGCCAAAAATCTTTGTCATCGGCCAGAAAACTGCATCAGACACCACCGCTCACAAAACACTCAGAAACCTGTTAACTAGGCACTTCAGACGTGCCGGTAGGTGAGTTTTTTCACCTGGCTAGCTCAGAAAGTGTTGAACTATTCCTTTTAATCCAGTGTCTGTTTTAACCCTAGCACAACTGTGACCTACAGGATGGTACATTTAGGATTACCCAATGTACTAAATGAAAGAAGGGTGTTTTCTCGTGTTAGGGTTTAGGTCTCAACACACACACACACACACATTAAAACTATGTCGCTCTGAGGCAGTTTGAGATCGTTTTAACCCTTATTGAGCATCTGGGAGTAGCTACAGTAAACTGAGGCATGCTAATACGCTCGTTAGCTGTCATTTAAAAAGGGAACACTGATGATCTGATGACTTTCTGCTCTTTCCACACGCCGTCAGATGATAAGATCTGAGTGACGAACACATTCTTCAGCTGACAGCCGCCCCAGAGAATACAACTTCCTCCTCTCCCTGTTCTTTCTGTTCTTTTATATAAAACACACGTTTACACACATTTTGCCTTCTTCATCTCACTCGAGAAGTTACACTGGACAAGGCCCAGTCTGCAGCTCTTCTTCATGACTGAGACGGGGGGTTAGTAATTGGTGTCAGATATAAAACCAAAGGCCAGATGTATTAAACTGTGTGTGCACAAAGACTACAAAGAACACTGTATGCACTGCTCTGATTAGGTCAGATTTGTGTAAGCGTGGATCTGGTTTATAAACCTGCTGTTGACCTCCACTCCCACAGTTAGCCATAAAGATATAGAGATACAGACACACCCATGATCAAAAGTACTTCTGTTCAGCTTCACAAGACTTTAGATCTGCCAGTGAAGAGAAGTTTCGCTGTTTTTGGAAAGATCAAAAGGCACAAACTTGCAGGCTGAGAGGCAGTAACACCAGCAGTGTCTCTCCTCTGATGCTGACACAGGAGCTTTGAAGCGCCTCATTTCCTTTTAGCAATCACACCTGAGCAGAGCGACAGGAAACAGCCGCCTGTCACACCAACGTTCAAACCACTGACAGTACAGATAATGGACAGAGCCTCTGGGTCTGTTAAGTGTCCTAAACCTGTATTCTGTGTAAAGACCAGCAGGGGGAGCTCCACTGGCTGCAATAACACAGATATCATGCAGACTAATGGAGGAATGAGCCGACTTCTCAGTTGATTTATGAGCTCACTCAACAGTTTTGACTATTTCTCTTCTAAAATCATGTGAAAGTGTGAAAGTATCCAGTATTTCACCTGACAAAAAGCTAAAATTGGAGAAAAATAAGTACATGATATGAATGACTATATTTGCCTTTTAACCCTTTTAAACCCTCATATTTGTGGGAAAAGGTGTCTGTGGGTGTTTCTGTGCACACACAGCGTCACACATCTGGCCTCTTTCTGTTTTACTCCCCTTTTATTTTAATGTACATCATGTCCATCCACAGTGTTGGCCTCTCTGTCCTGTGTTCCTCCTGTGCTGTAATACACCCAGCAGCCTGTAGATCCACTGGGGGGGGAGGGGGGTTGCTAAAAACTGAACTTTAAATTGTACAAAGCGATGCTTCTGCATTGACATATTCTGAGGTGCTGATTCTGACACGATGAAGTTAAACAGGAAAAAAACTGCTGCTGATGTGTCCATTGTAAATAATAAGAATCTATTTATTTTCTTAATATATAACATTCTGTGGCAGATCTAAAGTGTACCCGGTAGAGTATTTTTATTAGCACGTGCAGTTAGCTGTGCTTCGTTGTGTTCTTTCCATCATATTTGTGCTTTGTTCCTCACATCTGCTGACAAACCGGTCACTATTTTTGCCTCTTAAATGTCAAGAGATGGAAGGTAAATGTAAAGGTAGACTCCTTAAAGCCATTAATGTTGGCAGGTAGGTGTGTTTCATCTTGTTATGTTCCTAATTTCATTTCAATTTTTTTCATTCTAATGCCTGTGTTTTGTGCCCTTTTAGATAAAAACCAGTTCACATTATGGATCAAACAAATGCTTACAAATGTACTTTGAGCCATCGTGTCTAACCACTATTACTGTCTTTGTTGTGAAGGAGCTGACGTTTACATTAGACTCTTGTCTTTGACATGGTTTTTAGTTTTCCAGCTCTAACATCAAATATCCGCCCGTTAGTGATTTTACTTGTTATTCAGCAACGTCCAATCTTTAAAGGTATTTCATGATCTCTTCTGTCTGCCAGTGTTTTAATCCAACAGGCCTCTGTGGACTTAACGCAGTGGTTCCAAACCACCACCAGGGGGCGTCATACCTTCTTGATTTTAAGAGAATCAAGAAAATATATACACAGTAGGTCTCTAACGGATTACTTATTATTCAATATCTAAACTTTGATAACCTGATCTGCTAACTCAATGATAGAGGAAACGTCCCTTTTAAGGATAAAGGTTGGGAACCGCTGATTTAACGTACAAATACAAAAACCTGTAGTTTTACTGTAAAACTGCTCCCAGATCTGTTGGATCATTTATAAGAAGGCACCAAGTGAAAACTGTCAGTTATGATTCCTGCATTTGTTGTAACACTTTTCTAAACTTGAAATTATTATTGTTATTATTATATATTATTATATTAGTTATTTCTGTGCCAAACTATGCCTCTGTTTATTTTTTTTCCATCATGGATCAATGTGAGTGCGCTCCTCTTGTAATACATCAGAAAACACGCTGATTTCACTCCCGTGGATTCGGCTCTCGACTGCAAACGAAGGGAAAAAATAACAGTTTAAGGGCTTTTAATGTTGAAATGTTGTTTCAATAAATTCATTCTGGTTTCAAAATGTCTCAGTTCTTTGTTTCATTGTTTTGTTTTCTGATATTTTATTTGTTCTAGTCTTTGTTGTCTTTTCTTTTTTTTCTCTTTATAATTTCTAATGGCTTTGGCAATATTGTCTTTTCTTACACTAATATAAACTTCAGAATCTGTGACATTTTCAATGATAGCAGACATGTTGATTACAGAAAAAAGCACAGGTGATCCCAGGGTGTCAGTATTTAAACTGTAAACAGGTTAAATACAGTTTCTGGAACAGTAAAACGTGATATCTCTGAGCGAAACCTTTATTTCTACAGCATTTTAAAGGAATTTATATGAAATAATGTATTTTTGTTATATTACAGACTAAATTGCACATTTACAACACCGTCATATCTCACGTGGCAAAACTGCTTCGGTTGATGGTAAAAACTTGTATTTATACGAGAAAATATGGAATAAAACTCTGACTTTATTAACAGCACTAATGTCCTTTTACTGTAACTACCGTTTTTATTACAGTAAAGTTCTGGTTTTGATTTAAGACCAAAATATCTGAAACCACTGACGTTCCCATCAGCCTCGGCTTCACTTTGTGTTTAGAGCTAATGAGCGAATGTTATCATGCTAAAATAAGATGGTGAGTGTGATAAAAGTTTCACCTGCTGAACGTCAGCATGTTATCAAATGGCTGCTGTGCTCAAATAGTTATTTTAAAAGTTTATTTGTCAAAAAAGCAGCCTTTTAAATATGTAAGATTGTTCAAAATTAAATAAATACATAATACAGACAGAATTGTATAAAAAGTAAAAAAAAACAACTTATCTCTAATCAACATTCATAGGAAATAATCTGCTCAAAATTCATACAAAACACTGGTTTTACACAAACGTCCTGCAGTAACTGAGTTCACTGTTTTTATTCATTGCACACTTTATCAGCTGTTCTCTACTGTTACTGTTATACATTGAATATAAATAAAATATGTCACATAATCAGTTTACAGGATGACAGAAAAGGAGGAGGTGACTGAGGGGCCGACGGAGGACGAAGCTCTGCCTGCTCAGCACATTAGTCTTGCAGCTGTGGGTGACACCAGAGGACGTGGAGGACAGACGCACTGCGAGGAGCTCAGAGGAAGCTTTTAACTGATACACTATAAAGGATTAAAGCTGTGGTTTCCAACCTGGGGGCCCCGGACCCCCACTAGGGGTCGCCAAAGCTTCACAGGGGGGTCGTAAGGCCTTCTTGATTTCAAGGGGTTAAGAAAACTCAAAAAATATACACAGTACGCTTATAACTGCAGTTTATTCATCTCTGTGGAGAAAACTAAATTAAACACTGTAACATTATACTGCACTTTAAAACCAGATAAGTTAATTTAACTAAAGAAAATTGTTGAAACTTTGTTATTTAAAACAGTAAAGGGTGTGTTGAGACATTTTTAACCCACAAAATGTATATAGTATAGTACTTCTTTAATGCATAATAATCTAATGATATCATATATAATAGTATAACTGTATAAATGGTACTGTTTTGAGTACTTGTAATACTTTAAGTACATTTTCTAGGGGTCGCCAAAGCTTCACAGGGAAAACTTAAAACTTACTTAAAAATATACACAATTGGCCCTTATATCAGCATTTTATTAATTTCTGTGAAGAAAATATAACATAAAGTTATTTTTAGAGTTGAGATTTAAGATCTAAACTCTGAAGACACACACAAACTATATTCACAGAGCTT